TATGAAGGAAAAAGATTAAAATGAAGTTTGAAACTTGGTTATAGAAGATATTTCTATAGGTTGAGACTATTAGCTAATACAATTTTTATTTTGAAGTCAGTGATTTCAGGTATAATATTGAAATTTGGTTTTCCTTATTGGTTATTGTTACTTTCAATATTAAAAATATGAGTGTAGTTGATGATCCTTAAATGATAATCTTGACCTTAAATGATAAAAAAACATCTTGAATAAACATTAATAGTTTTAGGATTTCAACAAGAAAAATAATAATTTCATTTCAGAACTTTTGCAGTACAACAATCTATTTCTAAAAATCAGTCATGATGAGTATCATATCATTTATTCTGGCATAAAAGAAAACTACTTTTAGTTACTAGAGATCTCAATAAAGCTAAGGATCATCAACTATACTCATATTTTAATGATGAAAGTAATCATAACTATAAAGGAAAACCAAATTTCAATTTTATACTAGAAACTACTGACTTCAAGATAAAAATTGTGTTAGCTAGTAGCCTCGAACTATAGACACTAGCTTCTTATAACCAAGTTACAAACTTGATTTCCATCTTTTTCTTTCATTACCACTGAATTAAAAAGGAAAATTAATAAAATAAAGTAAAGAATTAAAGTATACTCACGATTTTGTCTATGAAGAAGAAACCAAAATTATCACTTTAAACACTAATATGTATAACTATTAAATAAAAAGTACCTATTAGTAAACTAAATATATTACTAAAACAACATAATTAAACTTTTAAACAAAATATCACTAATAAAATAAGAGTCTGTGAAGATGAAACCTATCACTGAACATTAAACCAAAACTACCACTTTAAACACTAAAACGTATAACTATCCAATAAAAAACTACCTATTAATAAACTAAACATATCACTTAAACAACAAAATTAAGCTTCTAAACTAAAATACTGCCAATAAAATATGAAAAATTAACGGTTTTGAGGTGCCTATGGAGCAAAAAGTGGTGGGGGATTGAGATAGCCTAACATAACTGTAACCTAAATGTAAACAATCCTCTAGAATAAGCGTCCCCACTCCTCCCCAAAAGGCTGCGGGCATCATCGGAATTATTACCAAAGTGTTGACTATTCGCATGGCGGTTGTGTATTAACATGGGTTGTACTAACTTTTAAATGTGCTGCACACAGAGGATTATTGCAGCTAAAGTATACCTCACAGGCGGACTTACGGGGGTGGGGGGAGGCTTTCGGGCTGAAGCCCCTCCCCTAAAAAGGGCTTCATAAAAAATATTAAAAACTATCTCTTAAATTATTATTGGTGTGATTACATTTAATAGGACTTCAAATATAACTAAGACACCATCATATGGGTAGTTAGTTTCTTTCTTTTTTTTTTTCAAATTAATTATCGTTATATATATGAAAAAAAATCCTTCGGGCTGAAGCCCCACCCCAAAATTAAATCCTGGATCCGTTAGTGGTTAGGATCCGTGTGTGATATTAAAGTAATTGATAAAAGAATGTTGAATAAATAGCATCTTAAGCATATTTTAAGCATTTAAACTGTTAGCTATTTATCAATTAGGGTTAATAACCCTTCTACGACAATTTATATTTTTTACATGCTGTCTTCTGCCATTTGTACTTCAGAAACAATGTTTTTAAATTTGTTGATTATTGTATTTAAGTTAAAAAGTTTAAAAATATGTTTAACTTCTATGACACATTCATTAATAGATGGTTCATTATTAGAAGAATTATTTCAATTAATGTTTTCAGAGAAATGTTTTAGTAAAATTATTTTTTTTTTTTAGTTTTGTAAGAAAGGAAATACATTTTGTCTTAGCTTGAATTTTTTTCGTTGTGACGGGTTAATGGTTGGTCGGAGTTTACTAAGCTACAATCACTGGCTTCGAATGAAGTATCAGCATTTTTCGTAATTTCAGATATGTTCTTCATTCCATTTTCAGCTATTCGAGACGAATTCCTCGCACATGATAATAGGACAGTCTTTTTATAAGTGTTCCTCGGAGCACTTCAAGCAACGGGGTTTTTTGAAGCAGTTTCGAGCTGCGTGATTATATTCTTGACATAAATAACATTATGTCAAAATGTTTCTTTTAATCATTCGAAACATTTTGAAAATTTCTAAGCATTGTTTATTTAGGTCAGCCTGAATGTCTTCGATATAATAGTCCGGGGCATGCCTTTAGACTTAGTTTCATTTTTAGGATAGGAGTATAGGTATGGAAGTTGTGATTGAGTAATTCAAGTTCATTTTTAATGTTCATGAAGTCTTCATTGCTATATACATAAAAAATATTTTTGTTTCCACCGTCTTTAATATTTATATCTTTTACTGTATTTTTAATTATCTTCTTGTGATTTGAAAATGAAGAATCAACTACTACTGGGGGAAATTCGTGTAAGTTAGTATTTACGTTAGTTTGGTCAGCGATCTCCTCGCCTTCTTCTTCATCGCATAAAATCGAGTTGCTATTTTGAGCAGGTATATCATATAAGTTTGACTAACTTCGTCTTCTTTTCGGTGCTAGGTTAAATTGTTCGTCTTTTTTGGAGTGCTAAAAGTAGCTTCTTCGTCATCCATGTTCATTTTACTCCCCGGAAGGACATTCTTATATGAGAAATTGTTACCGAAAATAACATAAAGTCCGGGGTTTATTTAAACTAAATCGGTGTTATAATTAAAACTATTTCAAAAAATAAAACTAAACAATTAATGCAGTGGTTATAGTATCTTTACTCGGCAGCTGCTAGAGATAGACTCTAGTGTTCTCAAATATTCAGGAAGACCTAGATACTATGGTGCCTTGGCTATCTTAAATAAATTAATCTTAAACGCAATGAAAACTCAGCTTATTATTATTGGTTCCAATGCTCTTTCCAGATCCATTGTCATCTTTCCTACTTTAGTTCTAAATGACTATCCCATCACCTTCAGTTCTTCTGTTAAAAAAACATGAGTATCATATTGACCAAAACAAATCCTGGAAATTCCATATTACCTCTATTTCCGAAAGTTCATTAGGCACACTTGGGTTATTTCATCATTCCCGTCATATTCTTCCTCAACATAAACGCAGTCTTCTTGTTTCCTCTTTCATTTTCCTCCATTTTTAAGACGATGGCCTGTCGATTATATTCGAGGACCAACTTTCCCATACTATACCTAAATGACCACCTTTGACACATTCTACTCCACTGTTAAAAATTTAGGCTTTTTCATTGATCAAATCCTCTCCCGGAATCACTACATTTCTCCTATTTCCTGATGTACAATTTCTACTCTCTAACTATTCAATCGCTTCTGCCATCTTCTGTTTAAACATTCATGTACACTCCTAGTTTCTTCTGACATCTTCCCTCACTTTGACTACAGCTGTGTGGTGTTTGATAAGGTCTCGGTGCAGCTCCATGATAGAATACTAATGAATAGCTTCATTAGGTTTGTAATTGGGATCCCGAGAAACTCCCGCCTCTCCCACCACTACACTGAGTTAAGGTGACTCTTTCCCTCCTCCAGAAGACAATATTTCCTTGGCACATTCTTTATCAAATCATCAACAATCATTGTCCTTCTTATACTTATAACCTTATCCAATTCAAATGCTCAGCCCATTCCCCTACTACAAGATCTCAACCTTCTGATCTTTACATCCTTTTTCACAGATCTGCTTCATTTCAAAGCTCTTTTGTTGCCCACTCTGTCCTGGAATTCCCTCACTATTAAAATTCAGCATGCATCTATGTATCCACATTTAAAATCCTCCTATTCCTATCCCTCTTCCAAAAACAGTCCTACCTGTTAGGATACCTGCTATCCTTTTGACATTATACAAGTATTTCATGTCATTTATAATCAAATAATAATGCTGTTCTTTGTTATATATATATATTACAATGTTTTTTTATAATTCGACCTTTATATATTATAACTTAAGATATGAATTATAGTCGGATAATATGTCATGGAATTTCATGACCTATTATCCAACTATAATTCATATCTTAAGTTATATATATAATGAATTACAATGAAATGATTTCTACTATCCTAAAATCCCACACTAATGATTATGGTCCCGAAAATATTCCAGTAAAACTAATAAAATCCAGCCTTCCTGTCCTAATTCCTGTGCTTTACCATATCTACAGATTTTCATTGCAAAACTCCATATTCCCATCTCTAAAATCTCACTATACTCATCCTTATAGATTTTTTCCAAAACATTTGACACAGTTGTCCATAACATCCTCCTTAACAAATAGAAAAATATTCATCTATCCAACAGTGCCCTGCACTGCTTGAAATCCTTCCTCTCAGATTGGTCCCAAGCCAACCTCCACCTAAGACCCTTCTCCTCTCCTGTGGTGTCCCTCAAGGTCCTCTCTCCCCTACTCTGTTTGCTATTTACATTAAAGACCTTACCCTGCCAATCCATCACTTCCAATACCACATCTATGCAGAAGAATTCCAAATATACCTGTCCTTTCTGCCTTCTGACCTATTAATAGCCACAAAAAGACCTAAATAGGATTTGTGACTGAGCAGAAGCTAAAAAATTGAAGTTAAATGCAGAGAAGACCATGGAAATTTTAATAGGCTCTAATCGCCTCCTTAAAACTGTTTCTGATATTCCAACCCTGTTCCTACATGATAATCCAATCAAATTTTATTCCACCAACAAAAACCTTGGAACCTTTGATCAAATGTTTTCCTGGAGAAACCATGTATCTAGTATTTCCTGCCATACCTTTTCCGCCTTAAATCAATCGTCTAAATTACTTCCACCACCTATTTCTATTTGAAACCCGTAGGCTCCTAGTAAATTCCTTAATATTTCTCGACTTTGACTATTGCTGTATGGTAGATATGGTCTCTGGGAATCTAAAGGCTAAACTAAAACGTTTGATAAATTGCTTTGTACTATTCATCTTTGGGGTCCCAAGGGATGCCCCTTTTCCCCTTATTTATGAAGAGTTGATGTGGCTTTATCTTTCCTCCTGTCGCAAGTATTTTCTGGCCTTCTTCCTCTTCCAAGTCATCTAATCCCGCTGTCCTTCATATATCTCCCATCTCTTTAAATTCAAATCTTCTTTTCATTCCCGTAATTTGTTTGGATTTATATAAATGTCTTTGGATTTATATACTAGCTACATATAGAATTTTTATAGAATACCCCACGAACCGCTGCTTTTGACAGATCATTCATCATCCGATCCTCATCCCTATGGAACTCCATATTCTAAAAGGACTTGTTCCAGAAGAAATGAAGTATTATTATTATTATTATTAATTTCTTACATGTATTTATGTTACTAAATGATCATGCTCTTCTTATATTGTATCTACATACTATCCTGCATTTACATACTTAGGCATTTAATAATGACAGATTCAGCTTTATTTTTTCTTAGTAGAAATTTAGAATTTATTATTTTTTTATTTATTATTTTAATGGAATTTACAACTGTATTACATAGAAAATACAATAAGTAAATGTGAAATTGGTAACATGACATGTATAACATGAAGAGAAACTACCCATTGGTAGAACTCAAAAGAATTTATTTATTAGAGAAGTTTTAAGTGTTCTGTTCATAGTTTTATTTGTTTTGTATACAGCTAGTTCACTAAATATTTTATTTTTATTTTATCAATTATATCAAACCTTTAGACTAGAAGTAATATTTCTTTTCTGTATGATTTTGTTATTCTTAAGGAACTTTGTCCCAGAATAAAGTTATTTTTTATCCATCTATATAGTTTTATTTGCGGAGTTCATATATTTTTTACTTTTATCATTATACTTTCTTGATTACTTATTTTTATTTTTATATTTATTTGTTAATCTTTGCTTTATTTTACTATTATTTTTTTGATTTATTTTCTTGTACTTAGCTACTTACCTTAGCCCAAATACTTACTGCCCTTGTGTGTGGCAGATTGTGTTACTATTCAATAATTAAAAACTAATAAAAATAATTTAAAAATTTAAATAGGGCATGAAGGGTGGATTGTTCTGCAGTTTAGCAAACTATTCTCATCTAAGTGAGATTGGGATCATTCTGTTTGCCCTCTAAAAATAATCAATCACCCTAGGACAGATTAGAGCTAATTTTATTTTAGAATTAAGAGTAATGAGGTGCTGTCAGGACTGACTTGGCTATTAGAACTACTGGTAAGAGATATTATGGCTAATGGATAGTTAATGATAATTATATTTGAAATTACAAGAATCAGTTTTAAATCTTTTGACATATTGCATTTTAACTTTATGTATTTCTCTTTCTTTTCTCTGTTTTTTTTTCTTTATTTCTTTACTTTATTCTTTGAGGTGGAACTATGGGAAGTAAGATTATTCTTTTTTCAACTAGATGTATCAATGAATATTGGATAATATATACCATTTGGTTAGATTTCATGATAATTACAAAATATCAGTTTTATGTATTATCATAAGGTTGTATGAATGCATATTTAGTGATAAATAAAATATATTCTGGCAGAAGTGGTATATGAATAAAATGAGACAAAAGTATTGAAAATAATAATTTTATTAAAGCATAAATATAACAATTCTTTAAAAACAATAACATAAAACAGCTTAAAAAAAAATCAAAAATTTATTTTCAGTCACAATATCAGAACGACATAAGATTGTTAGTATTTCTACAGTATAAACAAAGCTAACATGTTTAATTAAATAGTACATATAATGTTAAGTTAAGAAATGTATCAAAATTGATATTTTTGATGTACTCAAGTACATACAAAAAATATTATTTCTTATAAAAAAATTAACATAGGCATATTATTATTAATTAAAGCATTTTATTTTAATAAAAAATCTAGAAATGAATATATTTTTCTTGATTAACACACATATCAGACTTTTGGTACATAATAGCTATGCTGTTTTGTGTTTCTTGTGTTTTTAAATTGTCCTTTGTCTTGTTTTTTTTCAATCAAGGAGGCTGGACATGGACCAGTTACACGTGGAATAAATTCATTTTTGTATGAAGATGATACATAGTTCCTTTCACTTTCCGTTCCAAGAGTGAAATTAGAAGTATTACTTACTCTAACTCTTGTTACCCTTTCAACATTTTGGAAATTGCCATATGATTTGGCTTCACTCTGTCCATAGAATTTTCCAGTTCCTATGGACAGAGAATCTGCTCTTTTAGCTGATGAAGTGTGCCCATCATGAACTGTTATTCCTTGTCTATGAAGTGTACTAAGACTTTTTCGATCTTGAGAAACTGGACCAATAAATTGACCATCAATATTCTGAATGCTTTTTCTTTGAATTGATGCAGCAGTTGAAGAAGATGCTGTACTATGTAGGGATTCCATAGAAGTTTGCATACCTTTTCTATGTAGAACAGCATTATTTAAATCTGTTGTAGATCCTGTGATAACACTTTTCCTGTGATGCCCTCTTTGAGTTGATGTTTCAGGTATGGGTGGTTTTCCTTCTAAAGCATGCATTAATTCTTTACTTGTTTGGTGATATTTTTGTATATTTTCTGATTGAATGGATCTTTGTTCTGTTGTACTTTTTATATTAGTTTCATGAGCAGACATTTCTTTGTGTCTCACAGTTTGAGATTGATTGACTATTGTTTCTTCAGAATGTCTTGTTTTTTCTTTATGGTCTACAGTTCTTTGTGATGTGTGCTCAGTGTGGTATCCTCTATTTTCCATCTTTGCTTGCTGATGCTGATGTGTGATTGATGAGTGTGATATTGATCCATTTCTATTTGTGTCTCTAATATTAACAGATTGAGAATTTATTTGTTTTGACCGTTGTACTGTTTGTTCATCATTTATGACTGCAGTTTTGGCTGTGACTGTAGTTTCTTCCCTTATATTAGCTGTGTCTCGTTTAGTGACCCTTTCTTTAACAGTTGATGTTTGTTCCGTACTGATATTTTGCACATTTTCATTTCTTCTATCTACACCATTTTTAACTGCTGTAATTTTTCTGTTCGTTGAGATGTATGAAGTAGTGTCATCTCCAAGAACAATTTTTGATTCAATGTGCCTCCTGCGATTAATAGATGAGATACTTTCTTCCCTGCTTTGCTTGGTGAATGTTTTACTACTTGTAGTAGTGAGATCCATTTTACCCTCACCTACTTTAAGAGAATCTTCATATCTTTTAACTGTTGCTCTATCACCTTTTACTGTTATATACTGTGATTTTTGGGAAGTTGTTCTTTCAAAATCACCTTCTCCAACAATCAAGTTGTCTTTTGGTTTTCTGGAAGGCATTCGCTCACCTTTAGCAGGTTTGAAATCTTCTTTTAATTTAGTCACTGCATGAAATTCGCCTTCCATTTTAAGATTATCACTATGTTTCGTTATCTCTACTCTTTCTCCCCTTACGTGGCCATATTCATGAACTCTTTGTCCATGAAATTCTCCTTCAGGTTTTAAATTATCTGTGTGCTTAGTAATTTGGTATCTTTCTCCAGGGACAAACGGGCTTGATGCTCGTCGCTCGAATTCTCCTTCAGGTTTCAAATTATCTTCTGGCTTCACCTTTTTCGGTCTTTCTGCGGGGATAAATTTCTCATGAGATCTTTTTTCAAAGTCTCCCTCAGGACGAAGGTTGTCATCATGCTTAATAGGTTTTGGACGGTAACCTGGCGAATATTGTTCTGGATATCGTTTTTCGAAATCACCCTCTGGTTTTAGATTGTCTTCTGGTCTCACCTGTCTTGGCCTGTCAGCTGGAACAAACTTCTCTGGAGTTCTTTTTTCGAAATCTCCTTCAGGTCTTAAATTATCGGGATGTTTAACGACTGGAAGCCGTTCTCCTGGTCTATATTCCTCAGGCATCCTTCTCTCAAAATCACCTTCTGGTCTTAAATTATCAGGATGTTTAACGACTGGAAGCCGCTCTCCTGGTCTATATTCCTCAGGTCTCCTCCTCTCAAAATCACCTTCCGGCCTAAGATTATCTTCAGGTCTTATCTGCCTAGGTCTTTCAGCAGGAACAAACTTCTCTGGCGTTCTCCTTTCAAAATCTCCTTCAGGTCTTAAATTATCGGGGTGCTTAACGACTGGGAGCCGCTCTCCTGGTCTATATTCCTCAGGTCTCCTCCTCTCAAAATCACCTTCTGGCCTGAGATTATCCTCAGGTCGTATCTGCCTTGGCCTGTCAGCAGGAACAAACTTCTCTGGAGTTCTTCTTTCAAAATCTCCTTCAGGTCTTAGATTATCAGGATGTTTAACGATTGTGAGCCGCTCTCCTGGTCTATATTCCTCAGGCCTTCTTCTCTCAAAATCACCTTCTGGCCTGAGATTATCCTCAGGTCGTACCTGTCTTGGTCTTTCAGCAGGAACAAATTTTTCTGGCGTCCTCCTTTCAAAATCTCCTTCAGGTCTTAAATTATCAGGGTGTTTGACGATTGGGAGCCGCTCTCCTGGTCTATATTCCTCAGGTCTCCTTCTCTCAAAATCACCTTCTGGCCTGAGATTATCCTCAGGTCGTACCTGTCTAGGTCTTTCGGCAGGAACAAATTTTTCTGGCGTCCTCCTTTCAAAATCTCCTTCAGGTCTTAAATTATCAGGATGTTTGACGATAGGCAGTCTTTCTCCTGGTCTATATTCTTCTGGTTTTCTTCTCTCAAACTCTCCTTCAGGTCGAAGATTATCTTCTGGTCTCACTTGTTTTTGTCTCTCTGCAGGAACGAATTTATCGGGAGTCCTTCTTTCAAATTCTCCTTCAATACAAAGGTTATCTGAAGGCTTGATTGGTAGAGGTCTCTTTACAGATGTATGCTTATAATCATCGCTTGTTCTTATTGCTTCAAAAGTACCCTCTGTTCTTAAATTATCTTCATACACAGTTATACTTTCTCGTTCCCCTTTAATAAATCTGTAGTCTTCTTTAGTTCGCATGTCAATAAATTCTCCTTCAAGATATAAATTATCTTCGTGCTTTTTAATTACAACGTTTTCACTCACCGTTTTGGCTGTGTAGTCATCTCTAGATCTGTAAGTCTCAATAGTTCCTTCTAGTCGAAGGTTATCTTCATGTTTACGAATTTCTGATCGTTCTCCTTTTACTTCTTTGAAGTCGTCTTTTCTCACATATTGATAGTCGCCATCTAGTTTCAAATTATCTTCCCGTATAATTATTTCGGCTCGTTCACCTACTACAACTTCTTCTTGAATACGTTTTTCGAACGTACCTTCTGGTTTTAAATTATCTTGGGGTTTCTTAATTGGCATTCTCTCACCAACGAGAATGGTAGTGCTGGTTTCACGCTTTGTGAATTCCCCTTCTACTGTCAGGTTATCTTTTGCTTTGACGATCGGAGCTCTTTCGCCAACAGTCACAACGTAGTCATCTTTAGGGTATATTTCTAAAGTACCTTCTTGTTTCAAATTATCTTGGTGCCTTATAATCTCTGAGCGTTCTGATGCTTGAAACTCTTCAATGATTCGTTTCTCAAATTCTCCTTCAATTTTAAGATTATCAACAGGTTTAATAGCTTTAGTTCTTTCAACCATAATTATTTTTCTATGAATAGGTTTTTCAAATTCTCCTTCTGGTCTCAAATTATCTTCTGGACGAATTTGCTTCGGTCTTTCTGCTGGAACAAATTTATCGGGAGTTCTTTTCTCGAATTCACCCTCAGGACGAAGATTATCTTCATGGCGTACTTGCTTAGGACGCTCAGCAGGTACAAACTGATCTTTCGGTCTTTTCTCAAACTCTCCTTCAGGCCTCAAATTGTCCTCTGGCCTAACTTGTTTTGGTCTTTCTGCTGGAACGAATTTCTCAGGGGTTCTTTTCTCGAATTCTCCCTCCGGTCGTAAGTTATCTTCTGGGCGCACCTGCCTTGGTCTCTCTGCTGGTACAAACTGGTCTTTTGGCCGTCTTTCAAATTCTCCTTCAGGACGCAAATTATCTTCAGGTCGTACTTGTTTAGGACGTTCAGCAGGAACAAACTTCTCTTTTGGCCTTCTTTCAAAATCACCTTCTGGTCTTAGGTTATCCTCTGGACGGACTTGTTTCCGCCTTTCAGCTGCAACGAATTTATCTGAAGTCCTTTTCTCGAATTCTCCTTCAGGACGCAAATTATCTTCAGGCCGTACTTGTTTAGGGCGCTCTGCTGGAACAAATCTGTCCTTCGGTCTCCTTTCAAATTCACCTTCAGGTTTAAGATTGTCCTCTGGCCTGACTTGTTTTGGTCTTTCCGCCGGAATGAATTTGTCTGGAGTTCTTTTCTCGAATTCTCCCTCGGGACGTAAGTTATCCTCTGGGCGCACTTGCTTTGGTCTTTCTGCTGGTACAAACTGGTCCCTCGGTCTCTTTTCAAACTCTCCTTCAGGTCGTAAATTATCTTCAGGTCGTATTTGTTTAGGACGTTCAGCAGGAACAAACTTGTCCTTTGGCTTCCTTTCAAAGTCACCTTCGGGTTTGAGATTGTCTTCTGGTCTAACCTGTTTTGGCCTTTCTGCAGGGACGAATTTCTCCGGTGTTCTTTTCTCAAACTCTCCTTCAGGACGCAAATTATCTTCATGTCGGACTTGTTTCGGCCTCTCTGCTGGTGTGAATTTCTCTGGTGACCGTTTTTCAAATTCGCCTTCAGGTCTTAGATTATCTTCAGGTCGTACTTGCTTAGGGCGCTCAGCCGGAACGAATTTATCTTTTGGCCTCCTTTCAAATTCACCTTCGGGTTTAAGATTGTCCTCTGGTCTGACTTGTTTCGGTCTTTCTGCTGGTACAAACTTCTCTGAAGTTCTTTTCTCGAATTCTCCCTCGGGTCGTAAGTTATCCTCTGGTCTAACCTGTTTTGGCCTTTCTGCAGGGACGAATTTCTCCGGTGTTCTTTTCTCAAACTCTCCTTCAGGACGCAAATTATCTTCATGTCGGACTTGTTTCGGTCTCTCTGCTGGTGTGAATTTCTCTGGTGTCCGTTTTTCAAATTCGCCTTCAGGTCTTAGATTATCTTCAGGTCGTACTTGTTTAGGACGCTCAGCCGGAACAAATTTATCTTTTGGCGTTCTTTCAAATTCACCTTCGGGTTTAAGATTGTCCTCTGGCCTGACTTGTTTCGGTCTTTCTGCTGGAACGAATTTTTCTGGAGTTCTTTTCTCAAATTCTCCCTCGGGTCGTAAATTATCCTCTGGGCGCACCTGCTTTGGTCGCTCTGCCGGTACAAACTGGTCCCTCGGCCTCCTTTCAAATTCACCTTCAGGCTTCAGATTGTCCTCTGGCCTGACTTGTTTCGGTCTTTCTGCTGGTACGAATTTCTCCGGAACTCTTTTTTCAAAGTCTCCCTCAGGACGCAAATTATCTTCGTGGCGCACTTGTTTTGGCCGATCAGCTGGTACAAATTTTTCTGGTGTACGTTTTTCAAAGTCTCCTTCTGGACGCAAATTATCTTCCGGTCGCACTTGTTTAGGCCTTTCAGCCGAAACAAACTTGTCTTTCGGCCTTCTTTCAAACTCTCCCTCCGGCCTCAGATTGTCCTCCGGTCTGATTTGTTTAGGTCTCTCAGCTGCTACAAACTTCTCTGGAGTACGTTTCTCAAATTCTCCTTCTGGTCGTAAATTATCTTCAGGCCGAACTTGTTTTGGCCTCTCTGCTGGCATGAATTTTTCAGGTGTCCTTTTCTCGAATTCTCCTTCAGGTTTCAGATTGTCTTCCGGTCTGACTTGTTTTGGTCTTTCTGCAGGTACGAATTTCTCCGGAGTTCGTTTTTCAAAATCTCCCTCGGGACGCAAATTATCTTCAGGTCGGATTTGCTTGGGTCTTTCTGCCGGGACAAACTTATCTTTTGGTCTTTTCTCGAACTCTCCTTCAGGTCTCAGATTGTCATCCGGTCTTATTTGTTTTGGTCTCTCAGCTGGTACAAACTTCTCAGGAGTACGTTTCTCAAATTCACCCTCTGGTCGTAAATTATCTTCAGGGCGTACCTGCTTCGGTCTTTCAGCCGGAACGAACTTGTCCTTTGGCCTTCTTTCAAAATCACCTTCCGGTTTAAGGTTGTCTTCTGGCCTAACTTGTTTTGGCCTCTCCGCTGGAACAAACTTCTCTGGTGTACGTTTTTCAAATTCACCTTCAGGTCTGAGATTGTCTTCATGGCGCACTTGCTTAGGCCGTTCAGCTGGTACAAACTTATCCGGTGTACGTTTTTCAAAGTCTCCTTCAGGCTTAAGATTGTCTTCTGGGCGTACTTGCTTCGGTCTATCGGCTGGTGTAAATTTCTCTGGTGACCGTTTTTCAAATTCGCCTTCAGGTCGTAGATTATCTTCAGGTCGAACTTGTTTTGGGCGCTCAGCCGGTACGAATTTATCCTTTGGCCTCCTTTCAAATTCACCTTCGGGTTTAAGATTGTCCTCTGGTCTGACTTGCTTAGGTCTTTCTGCTGGAACGAATTTCTCTGGAGTTCTTTTCTCGAATTCTCCCTCTGGTCGTAAGTTATCTTCTGGGCGCACCTGCTTTGGTCTCTCAGCAGGAACAAATTTGTCCTTTGGCCTTCTTTCAAAATCACCTTCTGGTTTAAGATTGTCCTCTGGTCTAACTTGTTTCGGTCTTTCTGCTGGAACGAATTTGTCTGGAGTTCGTTTTTCAAATTCTCCTTCAGGGCGCAAATTATCTTCAGGCCTTACTTGTTTAGGACGTTCAGCCGGAACAAACTTGTCCTTCGGCCTTCTTTCAAAATCTCCTTCTGGTTTGAGATTGTCCTCTGGTCTAACTTGTTTCGGTCTTTCTGCTGGAACGAATTTGTCTGGAGTTCGTTTTTCAAATTCTCCCTCAGGACGCAAATTATCTTCAGGCCTTACTTGTTTAGGACGTTCAGCCGGAACAAACTTGTCCTTCGGCCTTCTTTCGAAATCTCCTTCTGGTTTAAGATTGTCTTCTGGACGTACCTGCTTGCGTCTTTCAGCTGGCACGAATTTTTCTGGTGTTCGTTTTTCAAAGTCTCCCTCAGGATACAAATTATCTTCCGGTCGGACTTGCTTGGGTCTTTCAGCAGGAACAAATTTATCTTTCGGCCTTCTTTCAAAATCTCCTTCAGGCTTAAGGTTGTCCTCTGGTCGAACCTGCTTTGGTCTTTCAGCCGGAACAAACTTGTCTTTTGGTCTTCTTTCGAAATCACCTTCTGGTTTAAGATTGTCCTCCGGTCTGATTTGTTTTGGCCTTTCTGAAGGTACGAATTTCTCTGGAGTTCGTTTTTCAAAGTCTCCCTCGGGATACAAATTATCTTCCGGTCGAACCTGCTTTGGTCTTTCAGCAGGAACAAATTTATCTTTCGGCCTTCTTTCAAAATCTCCTTCTGGTTTAAGGTTGTCTTCTGGTCGAACCTGCTTTGGTCTTTCAGCCGGAACAAACTTGTCTTTTGGTCTTCTTTCGAAATCTCCTTCTGGTTTAAGGTTGTCCTCCGGTCTAATTTGTTTTGGTCTTTCAGCTGGCACGAATTTCTCTGGAGTTCGTTTTTGAAAGTCGCCCTCGGGGTGCAAGTTATCTTCCGGTCGGACTTGCTTGGGTCTTTCAGCAGGAACAAATTTATCTTTCGGTCTTCTTTCAAAATCTCCTTCAGGCTTAAGGTTGTCCTCTGGTCGAACCTGCTTTGGTCTCTCAGCTGGAACAAACTTGTCCTTTGGTCTTCTTTCAAAGTCACCTTCTGGTTTAAGGTTGTCCTCCGGCCTAATTTGTTTTGGTCTTTCAGCTGGCACGAATTTCTCTGGAGTTCGTTTTTCAAAGTCTCCCTCAGGATACAAATTATCTTCCGGTCGGACTTGCTTGGGTCTTTCAGCAGGAACAAATTTATCTTTTGGCCTTCTTTCGAAATCTCCTTCTGGTTTAAGGTTGTCCTCCGGTCTAATTTGTTTTGGTCTTTCAGCTGGTACGAATTTCTCTGGAGTTCGTTTTTCAAAATCACCTTCTGGTTTAAGGTTGTCTTCCGGACGTACCTGTTTGGGTCTTTCAGCGGGAACAAATTTATCTTTTGGTCTTCTTTCAAAGTCTCCTTCAGGTTTAAGATTGTCTTCTGGACGTACCTGCTTTGGTCTCTCTGCAGGAACAAACTTGTCTTTTGGTCTTCTTTCGAAATCACCTTCTGGTTTAAGATTGTCCTCCGGTCTGATTTGTTTTGGCCTTTCAGCTGGTACGAATTTCTCTGGAGTTCGTTTTTCAAAGTCTCCCTCGGGATACAAATTATCTTCCGGTCGGACTTGCTTGGGTCTTTCAGCAGGAACAAATTTATCTTTCGGCCTCCTTTCAAATTCTCCTTCAGGCTTAAGGTTGTCCTCTGGTCGAACCTGCTTTGGTCGTTCAGCAGGAACAAATTTATCTTTCGGCCTTCTTTCAAAATCTCCTTCAGGCTTAAGGTTGTCCTCTGGTCGAACCTGCTTTGGTCTTTCAGCCGGAACAAACTTGTCTTTTGGTCTTCTTTCGAAATCACCTTCTGGTTTAAGATTGTCCTCCGGTCTGATTTGTTTTGGCCTTTCAGCTGGTACGAATTTCTCTGGAGTTCGTTTTTCAAAGTCTCCCTCGGGATACAAATTATCTTCCGGTCGGACTTGCTTGGGTCTTTCAGCAGGAACAAATTTATCTTTCGGTCTTCTTTCAAAATCTCCTTCAGGCTTAAGGTTGTCCTCTGGTCGAACCTGCTTTGGTCTTTCCGCCGGAACAAACTTGTCTTTTGGCCTTCTTTCAAATTCCCCTTCAGGACGCAAATTATCTTCAGGTCGTACTTGTTTAGGGCGCTCAGCTGGTACAAACTTCTCTGGTGTACGTTTTTCAAAGTCTCCCTCGGGATACAAATTATCTTCCGGTCGGACTTGCTTGGGTCTTTCAGCAGGAACAAATTTATCTTTAGGTCTTCTTTCAAAATCTCCTTCAGGCTTAAGGTTGTCCTCTGGTCGAACCTGCTTTGGTCTTTCAGCCGGAACAAACTTGTCTTTTGGTCTTCTTTCAAATTCCCCTTCAGGACGCAAATTATCTTCAGGTCGTACTTGTTTAGGGCGCTCAGCTGGTACAAACTTCTCTGGTGTACGTTTTTCAAAGTCTCCCTCGGGATACAAATTATCTTCCGGTCGGACTTGCTTGGGTCTTTCAGCAGGAACAAATTTATCTTTAGGTCTTCTTTCAAAATCTCCTTCAGGCTTAAGGTTGTCCTCTGGTCGAACCTGCTTTGGTCTTTCAGCCGGAACAAACTTGTCTTTTGGTCTTCTTTCGAAATCTCCTTCTGGTTTAAGGTTGTCCTCCGGCCTAATTTGTTTTGGTCTTTCAGCTGGCACGAATTTCTCTGGAGTTCGTTTTTCAAAGTCTCCCTCAGGATACAAATTATCTTCCGGTCGGACTTGCTTGGGTCTTTCAGCAGGAACAAATTTATCTTTAGGTCTTCTTTCGAAATCTCCTTCGGGCTTAAGGTTGTCCTCTGGTCGAACCTGCTTTGGTCTCTCAGCTGGAACGAATTTGTCCTTTGGTTTTCTTTCGAAGTCACCTTCTGGCTTAAGGTTGTCTTCTGGTCTAATTTGTTTTGGTCTTTCAGCTGGTACGAATTTTTCTGGAGTTCGTTTTTCAAAATTTCCTTCAGGTTTAAGATTGTCTTCTGGACGTACCTGCTTTGGTCTCTCTGCTGGTACAAACTGGTCTTTTGGCCTTCTTTCAAATTCACCTTCAGGTTTAAGATTGTCTTCTGGACGTACCTGCTTGGGTCTTTCTGCTGGTACAAATTTATCTTTAGGCCTCTTTTCAAATTCACCTTCAGGTTTAAGATTGTCTTCTGGACGTACCTGCTTGGGTCTTTCTGCTGGAACAAATTTCTCTGGTGTACGCTTCTCGAATTCACCTTCTGGTTTTAGATTGTCTTCTGGTTTCACCTGTTTTGGCCTTTCTGCCGGAATAAACTTATCTTTTGGCTTTTTCTCGAAGTCGCCTTCAGGTCTTAGGTTATCTTCTGGACGAATCTGTTTTGGCCTTTCTGCTGGGGTGAACTTTTGTGGTATACGTTTTTCAAAATCCCCTTCTAATTTTAAGTTGTCTGTATACTTTTTTTGTTCTGCTTTAGTTACTGTGGAAATATTTTTATAAACCTCTTTGCTCGTAGTTTCAAAGTAAATTTCTCCATCCTGTTTAGTCCATGTCCTTCTCCTAACAGGTTTTTCTCGATCTGTTGTCTTTTGTGTGAAGTCAGCCATTGAAGAAGATTGGAAAATCATTTCTCCTTCTGTTGTGAGGTTGTCTCTTCTTTTTGTTATTTCCACTTTTGTTGACACGTTATGGTCTATGAATGCTGCCTTGTTGCTAGTTTCACTGATGAATTCTGATTTATCTGTTGTCAAGTTATCTGGTTTCTTTTTCGGTTTTTCTCTTAAGACTGGCGCATGCTTTGGATAATCAATGCGATTAATGGAAGTTTCCTGAAAAAAAAAACAAGAATAATTATTAAAAAATATGTTTTGACTATATTTTTTTTTAAATTTTCTGTCTAAGTCAGGGTTATATTAGTGTTTACTTAATCTAATATTATATTTGTTAATATGTATCTGTAAATTCATAAGTTATTGGTAATTTTAATATCTATATTTAAATTAATATTCGTGAACTAAGTACCTACTAATAATTTTTTCTTAAAAATATGGTAAGACGTAGGTCATTGGAGGGGACGTAATTGAAATACCCTAATTAGGAATATCATGGGTGAAGGATAGTAAAGATGCAGTCAATTTTTTAAAGTTTTTTATTGCCAACGTTCCAATCGAAGCGTGTTGGGTGCTGGTAACATGCCCTGATGACGACCCACAAAGTAGGGTTGAAACGTTGATGATAAAAAACTTGACCATGTCCTGATTACCTATCAATCAACGTAAACAATTTACGTTTCTGAGCAGTTATCTGAATGCTGAAAAAATATTTCTTAAGATTGAGAGTGATGTAGAAACCATCGTTGCAGTACATTGTCCAAAAGCGAGGCGATAATCCTTCCTAGAATTTACAATTACAACTCTTTTTCCTCAAAGTGATACTCTGTTATTGGTATTATGCGATGATCAATCAATTTAATGTAACTGTTCTTATCTTTCTGGCTTTAGGTGAAGGCAAATTATAAAGTTACGGAAGGGATAGTTTAAAAAAATACCATAAATTTTAAGATTATACCGAATAATATGATATTCGCTTAATCCATTAATTTATTTTAACTTTTTGGATTTCATGGATATTGAAGGTGTGGTATTAGGGCGTATGTTTTTTAAAATTAGTATTGATCTTAATATTGTGCGGGCGGAAACGGCGAATGGGAGAAATGATTTATGCAGTTTTGATACTCTGAGAAGATATTATTTGCCTTTGGCGCTATCCTCCTTTCACCTTCCTCCACAAATATATATATACAAATACATATACACACAGTGGCGGTCTTAGACATTTGGCCCCCTCCCGGACAGTGATGTTATCTCCCCTCCCAAAAAAAAATTAAATTTATTTCTTATGCTATTTAATATTTTGTAATATTTGAATTTTATGTCATTCAATATTTATCTTACATAATTGCTTTATTAATAGGCTAAAGTTAATTATTTTAACATGTTTTGTATATATTATTTTGTATTTAACATATTTATATAGAAACATATTTTGTATATATTAAGTGGCGGGCGGCCGTAATGATCGTCGTCTCAAAGGGCGCCTCTCTATGCCTCCCTAAGGGCAGCACTGTATATATACATATATATATTTGTACATTTAGTGATCACATCTAAACACAATTAGAATTGATATACTTACATCAATAGTTCCCTCCCCAACTATTAAGTTATCAGTGAGCCTGCGTACTATTTCTGTTCTCTTTGTGTCATGTTTTTTATATTCAGATTGAGATGTTGTTTCAGTTATGATTTCTCCTTCAAGCTTTGTCCAAGTATTTCTTCTTATGAGCCGTGGCCTTTCTGTAATCTCTCCAGTAAATACTTCTTTTGATGTAGTTATACCTATAGATTAATTAAAAAGATTTAGTGACAACACTAGACACTACACGTAAGACTTATATAGATTGCCTTTGAACTCATTTACTTACCAAGGAAGTCTCCTGAAGGCTTCAAGTTGTCTACTGGTTTTTTTGTTGGCGCTCTTTCTCCCTTGACAGGAGCGCTAGGTTTCTCGGGTGTTTCAAATTCTCCTTCAGGTCTCAGGTTGTCTGGACGCTTCACTACGGGCATTCTTTCTCCAGGACGATATTCCTGAGGTTCGGGTCTCTCGAATTCTCCTTCAGGTTTCAAATTATCAGAGGGTTTGATCTGTTTTGGTCTCTCAGCTGGAACGAACCGATCTTTTGGCCTCTTTTCAAATTCACCTTCGGGCCTTAGATTATCAGATGGTTTGACTTGTTTTGGCCTTTCTGCGGGAACAAACTGATCTTTTGGCCTCTTTTCAAATTCACCTTCTGGTTTTAAATTATCAGATGGTTTGACTTGTTTAGGCCTTTCAGCGGGTAATACCTTAGTTGGTTCTGGGCGTTCGAAATCCCCTTCTGGTTTCAAATTGTCTGGCCGCCTTACAACAGGCATTCTTTCTCCAGGACGATATTCCTGTGGTTTGGGCCTCTCGAAATCTCCTTCTGGTCTCAGATTATCTTCAGGGCGTACTTGCTTAGGTCTTTCAGCAGGCACAAACTGATCCTTTGGCCTCCTTTCGAATTCTCCTTCAGGCTTTAAATTATCAGATGGTTTGACTTGTTTAGGCCTTTCGCCGGGTAAAACCTTAGTTGGTTCTGGGCGTTCGAAATCCCCTTCTGGCTTCAAATTGTCTTGCCGCCTAACAACTGGCATTCTTTCTCCAGGACGGTATTCTTGTGGTTTGGGCCTCTCGAAATCCCCTTCTGGTCTCAAATTATCTTCTGGACGTACTTGCTTCGGTCTTTCAGCAGGCACAAACTGATCTTTTGGTCTTCTTTCGAAGTCTCCTTCTGGTTTCAAATTATCAGAGGGTTTTACTTGTTTAGGTCTTTCGGCAGGCACAAACTGATCTTTTGGCCTTCTTTCGAAGTCTCCTTCCGGTTTCAAATTATCAGAGGGTTTGACTTGTTTAGGTCTTTCAGCGGGCACAAACTGATCTTTTGGCCTTCTTTCGAAGTCTCCTTCCGGTTTCAAATTATCAGAGGGTTTGACTTGTTTAGGTCTTTCAGCGGGCACAAACTGATCTTTTGGCCTTCTTTCGAAGTCCCCTTCCGGCTTCAAATTATCAGAGGGTTTGACTTGTTGAGGTCTCTCAGCGTGTAAAATTTTAGTTGGTTCTGGGCGTTCGAAGTCTCCCTCGGGCTTAAGATTATCTGGTCTCCTTACAACAGGCATTCTCTCTCCAGGCCTGTACTCCTGAGGTTTCGGCCTTTCGAAGTCTCCTTCTGGTCTCAAATTATCTTCAGGGCGTACTTGCTTAGGTCTTTCAGCAGGCATAAACTGATCCTTTGGTCTCTTTTCAAATTCACCTTCAGGTCTTAAATTATCTGATGGCTTGACCTGTTTAGGTCTTTCAGCTGGTAATACCTTAGTTGGTTCTGGGCGTTCGAAGTCTCCCTCGGGTTTCAAATTGTCTGGATGCTTTACAATCGGGGCTCTTTCTCCAGGACGGTACGCCTCGGGTTTAGGCCTTTCAAAATCACCTTCTGGCTTTAGGTTATCGGGATGTCTTACTACTGGAGCGCGTTCGCCAGGTTTGTATGGTTCTGGTAGTGGTCTTTCGAATTTTCCTTCGGGTGCTAGATTATCTTTGGGTTTCGTCACTGGGGCTCTTTCACCTTTAGTTGGAACGAATTCAGTCCTCCTTTCCGGTTTGTAATCACCTTCCAAATGCAAGTGGTCCTCTACCCTGAAACTAAAATGATAACTGCGTTATGAAACGAAATGGCAAAGTATTAATACCACCATATTCTAGCAATAATCTTTTTAATGTCCTTTTTACTTTTATCATTGTTAAAATCTTCTATGACGTATCTAATTTAGATGTTTATTCCTACAAATCTACGGTTTAAGAGTAGATTTGTTTTTAGTATGCTTATGACCAAAAAGATTAAACTCACTTCCTGGGTTTGGGTAAGGGCTCCCTCTTGGGAAACTCCTCCTGGTAGGCTGTAACGGCTTGGAGAGGTTCTCCAGGCAGTTCCAGCTCCGTGTGGAGCCTCCTCAAAGGCGGTCGCTCCACTTGATCTGGCTTGTATGGTGGATAACTGTCCTTGGTCTGCGTGTGACTTTCTAGTGGAGCCTCTGGCAATGCCAGTGGGCTCGGTTCCGTCACTATGTGCCGACATCTGTGCCTCCTGGAACATGAGATTGAATTTATATCGTTTTACGGTAGAAATCTGTTATGAGAATGAAAGAAAAAATATCTATGATTCAACCATGATGATCACGACATATTATCCATATTGAATAGTGTTGAACATCTCTAATAAAAAATATATAATAAAAACATCACAAGCAATGACTGTTCTAGAAACGGTGTCATTGTTCATAAATCCTCCATACACGACAAAGTTGCCATTCTTTTTTTCGTGTATTATTTTTATAAACATGTATTTCTGAATTAGTAACAGAGAATAGAATATTTGACTTTTTATTTTTTAGTAAATGCAAAGAATTTACTTTTAAATAACAGTTTGTGAGTAGTGATTGGTATGATATTTATATATTTATAAATGTGGAATCTAAAGATTTCTGTTGACTCTTTACGAAATACATGTTGAGCTTGGATGTTTGTTATCATTTTAACATATTTTAATTAAGGGTTATGCTTACTCACTTTAGATAACGGTTCAAAATTAAATTGAAGAATTTTTACTCGGCAGGGCAAACGATTTGCACTACCAAGAGAGTAGGAAGAAGAGATTCTCCGATGAGCAGAATAGCAACTGAGGAAAACAGTGTTTGTAGCTGCCGTCGCCTAGGACTTCCACCTTTCTAGGCCAATTGATTGACCCCTGTAACGAGTCCCTACTATGTTTTGAAAACACCAACATTATTTATAGCATTTTCTTTAGTGGCCTATTTTTTAGGGACATCTATAGTATTTGTACAAACGGTACATTTGCCTATTTCGTGCAATAGTGCAGCGATTAATAGCATGAAAGGTCCTTAAAAATAAAAATAAACAAACAAAATGTTTTCCTGAACCATCAAAATTAATTTAAAAAATGTTAATGTTTACAATTGAAACGGAAATTAATTTATATATTGATAAAAGGGAATGGGTGAGCTCAAGTTTAGGCTATTGCAGAAAATGTATTTTCGGTGTTATCAGCCATTAATTGATCCTCAGGGCTTTTTAATTTTTTTTTCTATTTTTGGGGGGGAGGGAAAGAGGGAGGGAGGCTTCACCTCAAAAGCCCTTCGTGGATCCGTCATCAAACAAATTTAGCTTTGAACAGATTATAGCTAAATTAAAAATAACATAGATTCCTCTCATATTTCTATCAAAATAATTAATTGCAAGTTTTATTAAATGTATGTTAAGGTGATGGATGAGTGGGACATCGTAACTCTGAATTTTTAATATTACAAAAATATTGTTTAACGGTTATGTGCGATTATAAAATATTATTTTTTATATAAAAAAAATTCGGAATTAATTCATGATTATTTATTTATAAAACAGAATTCTGCTTAGTTTATCCTCTTCAAAGTCCTCTTCAAGTGGTTTTATCAATGGCAGACTCCACTTTCATTTGAAGTAACTTTAGCATTAACCAATTGTTAATGACTTTAATTAAATATTTTTCTAGCTATCACTTGCTATGTAAGAGAAAACGTGACTTACATAAAAACAAAATCTTAAATTTCCTTTTTTTTTTTGCCAAAAAATCAGACCACAATTTGTATAAACTTTTTTGTAGCTCTTGTAGTCTAGTATCACCCATTTAAATATCTCCCTCGTCTTACAGGACAACCTCTATAGCACCATTATATACTTTTTGATTAATGCCTATATAAAATTTCTTTATTTTCATAATTTTTTCCTATTTTTTTTTCCGAGAGAAGTGCTTAGTTTTCCTACCTAATAGAGATAATCTTCAAATTTGATGGCTCAATCGTTTTGAGAATTTGATAATAAAGAATTGACGAAGAAAAGAAAAAACAATTTTGAAAAAGAATGTATTATATATTATAATACAGGTAATAGACTGATTACTATATTCTGTTATGGCGTTCTATTCCTCCTCTCCCACCCATGCAGGAACACTCTTATCGCCTGTGGTTCTTAGGTTTTTCTTTTCGTTCTTTAAAGCAGAGAAAGGGACTATTTGAATATTGATTCAGAAACCAATTCATAGTGAGCAGGCAAAGGAGCAGCTTTAAGATAACAACTCTTCCTAAAGGAGTTGAAATGTAAATCGTGCGTTTCCTTGCGTTTGTGGAGATGCGTCACAAGCTGGATGACATCGTCTCCTTTAATCCGCCAACGCCTTATGTATCGAGAAATGTATCGAAGGACGCAGGTGGGGGACAGCCTGAGTCAGACGCAGAGAGGCCTTTCCTAATATGGAGAGGTCTCCCACTTTCTCGTAAGAACAGTCGATTACGTCACACTAGTGCTGTCTCCTTCGGAGGACAACGGCTAATCCAGACTTTGACAATTAATATAAACAATTGTGTCTATCATTAATTATTTATGTCATTAAAATGATCCCAAAAGCCTAGCGAGGCCTTGCGAAAAGAGGTTTACTAACAATGTTTAGAGCCCCCAAGATGCAATCTTCAATTTGAAATTTGACCATTATTTGTGTAACAAAAGATAATTTTAATTTCGTTAAAATCGAAACAATCCACTAAAAGATTTAATGTTATATCTGTAATGTTGAAGTCACTCAGTCAAGTGATCCATTATCTGTCTGCAATCGTGTGTTAGATATGTTCCAGTCTCGTCCAAGCGCCATTAAAACAAGGCCTTCTTAATATTTTCTTTAAGGATTTATTTTAACACCTGTTGTAGTTTCAGACTCATTCTTATAATTTATCTTATACGATATATATGTATTTTCCAAACGGAAAAGGAGTTAGGACCATTTTTTGTTTTCTTAAGGTAGCCATAGTTTTTATTGAACAAGAAGAAATTGCACAAAAACTGTTCAAGATAGTTAAATTCTAAGTACGCCATCGTAAATTAGACCAAAATGCTTTGAGGAAATTTATTAAGGACAATGTGAAAGGAACTTTAAATTTACTAAGGTCAATGATAAAAGGTACTTTGATGAGGTCTAATACGGCCGCTGCACAGTGAGGGGAGTAAGATAAAACTCTATCTATTTGAATCCGTCTAAATACTTTGTGTTGTTGGCGGATTTTACGAGAATATTTTCAGTTGGCACAATATACATTTTTCACTGTCTTTCTCGAGTAGAGAATCTCAGACCTCCTGAAAGTCCCTTTTATCATTAACCTTAGTAAATTTAATCAGTATTTTCTTTAAAAAATGTTGTCTACTGTACGATGGTGTGCTTTAGTGTTGCCCAAAATCAGTCTTGGTCTTGCAAAGTGCTTGTAAGGCCGACCCCGCCTAGCCGTTGCAAGACCAAGAGCAAGACTGGTAAATAAAAGTCGATTTTTTGAATAAAAATTAAGGCAAAATAGTTACTAATACTTGACAATTTTATTTACTATATGTAAAGAATTGGTATAACCAATATACTTTTGCAACTAACTAATTTTTTATTCGGGCTTAGTTAGTTTTCTCCTATCTAAAAAATAATACAGTAATATCTCTATAGTAATAACCTAATAGGTAACTGCAAGACTCTTGCTCAAGACCGAGACCAAGACGAGTCATTTGGGCAACACTAGTGTGATTAGAATTTTACTATCTTGAACTGTCTTTTCATTTGGTCTATTATCATCCCCCAGAGTTTGGCCGTTAAGAATTGAGGCACCCTGTTTATATATATATATATACACACATATATGTACTAGCTCACTGTATATAATAAATAAAATATTTGTCAATGGATTTTGTATAACAAAAATTTTTTTATGTCGTGCCGTTTCGAATTGTTTCAGATGGAAAAGAAATTCCTGAATGCAACCGTGAGCTAGTTGAGACATAACCGATGGCGTTTTACGACCCGTTTTGTGATGAGTCTGTTGCACAATAGAGGAAAGAGTCGCTTTCAGGATAGGTCAACACCGCCGAGAGAAACGCCTGTCATCAGTATGCCTCGGACGTTCTTCCATCGGAACATTTGCGGTGCCCGCTCATGAATATTAATGCATTACAACTTATTATCACTGTTATAAATTATACTTATAGAATCCGGACGAAGGTCTAATCATTACGCTTACATATCAATTATAAGTGGCGCTTACGCCAACAACTTCGCAAGGTAAGCATGCCTCGAAACCAAACGTATGTAACTCAAAATCTATCGTATTTACGTTAAAAGTGGAATAGTTTTCGATTGTTGGTTTCAATAAACATTCCCAACAGCAACCATACGCGCAGAATTTTCATTCTGGTTGAGGAAGGGAGGCGACGGACTCCCTGAAAAAAGTCTCGGGTGTTTATATTATGTATAAAAATCATGAGCGATAGTTAACATAACCAACATAATTATTGTAAAACGAGATATGTAATGCTATGTATAAAAATAAATGTATATATATATGTTTATTTATTTTTTTGTGTATATACATTTTTCGCTCATACCACTTATACGTTAGAGAGAGGAATGACAATCTAATGTGAGAGTTGTCACTGGGCAAGAGACTACGCGAGAGGCCAAAAAACAAATTGACAGATCGAATTAACATGAATGCTAAAGGTAGAGAAATACACGTAGAAAATTGGAAAAGAACAGCCCAAGAAATATAGATATGAAAAAGACTGGTCAAGGAGGGAAAAGATCTACAAGGTCTGTAAATCCAACGATTTTTTATTTTATTATAAAATAAACGAATTTGTTATTTTAGGGACGGCTACTTCCCTATGAAAGTATTTTTTCTTGAAAATTTATTTTTAATTTAAATTTTATTTTATTTTTTTAAAGTTTTTCATGATTTTTGATAGAATAGAAGGAGAGAGTCTAGCCCTATAAAGGTTTAATTTTTTAACTTCTGAATTCCCATTAAAATAAAGTATTGACAATATATTAAATATATTATATAGTAATTATTTAATAGCAATTAATTAGGCTTCGTTTAAGTTTTAATGGTTTATTCAATATTTGAGGAGGTTCAGGAAAATTGACCCCGAGGTTTGATTTTGACTCTCCACGGCCCTGATGTCAATTATTGATCATCAGCAAATGAGCTAATATAATCATGTGAGGAGAAAAAAAAATTAAAACAACTGAAGTGCTTGCTGTATGGCTTTATAGATCATATGTACTATGACGTCATTGGATATTCGTAGGCTAAAAAAAAAAAAAATAGAGATATAAAACTATTTATAAATCCCATTAATAGTCACTTAAATCGGATTAAATATGCCAATTTAAAATTTAGTTCGTAATATGGCCTAATATATTATTACGGTTTTTGAGGAATATTTTTTCTAATTCTGAAATAAAAGGCCATTTGATCACCTATTGTATTTATTTATTTTTAAACCATCAGATCCATTTTCAAGTCTGTAAAATGTATATAAATAATATTTCTAAAAATCGAAGAGAAGATTGGTTGGGGCGATCATTAAAAAAAAATGTAAAAATTAATAAGTATATTTAATTTCATTTTTGCCGACGTTTCGGAACAGAGTTCTGGCCTTCATCAGGGCTAAGAAAAAAAACAGATAACAATAGGTATGAGAAACCATTAACATTAAAAAAGAAAAAGAAAAAATAATATGTAGGTGAAAGGTGTAGCCTAAAAAATGTAGGTAGAATAAACTTAAAGGAATTATAAAATAATGACAATATTATACCATACGATAATAGACTATATCTTTATATAAATAAATAAATAAAGAAATAAATCTATATATATATATATATATATATATATATATATATATATATATATATAGATTTATAATAGACAATAGTCTATTATAGTATAGTATAATATTGTCATTATTTTATATTTCCTTTAATTTATTCTACCTACATTTTTTAAGCTATGCCTTTCACCTACATATTATTTTTTCTTATTCTTTTTTAATATTAATAGTTGCTCATATCTATTGTTATCTGTTCTTTTCCTTGCCCTGGTGAAGGCCTGAACTTTGGGCCGAAACCTCGGCAAAAATAAAAATAAATATACTTATTTATTTTTACATTTTTTTTTTTTAATGATCGCCCCAAGCAATCTTCTCTTCAATTATGCACTACCGTCAACCATCAATCCACAATTATTTCTAAAAATTATATAAATAAACACTAATAGTTTTATAATTTACATAAAAAACAGTAGTAGTTATACATTTATGGGCTTATTATATTAATTCCGGTAAGATTGTGTTTTTACAGTATGTTTTATCACTATTACCAATAGTACGTATCATGTTCATATGTAGCTTAGATTTAATTATAGATAGAGGATAGATAGAGGATTTAAATTTTTTTCCCGAAAAAAAGTTATTTTAATTATACTTGCGAAATTTGTGATAGATTGATTTTGTAAATAGTGTAAAAATAAATGTAATCGTAAGTAATTATTGCTTCGTTTAAACACTGTAACTAATGTCAGGAAGTGATAAATCAATACAAATAATAAACAAATTGATATTTAAAATATAAAAAGCTACTTTTTTTTTTTTTGTTATATTAGTAAATTGTGCAATTGTTTATGGTCTTATTTCGACTCCGTGCCGTGATATTATCAAAGATAGGCAATATTTAATTTATTTTTCTCTAATCTCTCAATTTACGTGATCAAATATAATTCAAGAACTTCACGTGAAAATGGAGAGGTGCATGTCGGAATGAATCATAAAATGCTTGGATATGCAGATGATACAGCTGTCCTTGGAAGCAATCAAGAGTGCATGAGAGACTCGCTGAAACTCTGATAAGAGAAGCAGAGCGGTAAATGAAGATAAAACAAAATATATGATGATAAGCCGATAATGCCTCCCTAACAATAGGACCTGCGCGGATTGGAATTCGTTGCCTAGAGAAAAAAAAAAAATCAAATACCTCGCTTCCACAATAACCTCAATGAATGACTAAGGTCAGAAATAGACAATCGGACATGGAAGAGAAGGACCAATAAAGAACTGTTTACAATAACTGGTCAATCAATATCTCATGATATTGTCGAAATAGCTGCCGACCTTTATCATTAGCCCTGAAAATATAGACAGTTGTGAAGGGTTCACAACTCTTGGTTCCCACATAATTTAGAAATAATTTGTTGAAGATAGAAACTTCTCAGATGAAGGGACCACAATACCTAACCTCAAACCTCAAACCTCAAAACTTAACCCTTTTCCCAGATGACGAATAGAACCCTTTCCCTTTTTGACGTTTTCATCGAGTCCCTTTTAAATGCCTATTCCTAAATTTTCAAAGACAGTTTAATCCTAGTCACACATATTTCGGCAGGTCTCCACGACAACTATCGCCAAACCATTATAAGACATATTCCAATATTCTTGTAATCTCACATCAATCAACAACTCTTTTAATTTAGACTTTGATACAACGCAAGACTAAGGGTCCCCTGTGAGATTCA